GGTTCTGTGCAGTAAAGGAGTACGTCTTCAGATTCTTTACTTAAGTACTAATATTTCTCCAATGCAAGTACAAATCCTGCGCTGAAAGTGCATTTTGCATTTTGTTTAGGACTGTAGCTGCTTATTATACTTGGGTTAAAAAAATATTTTTAAAAGTGTGAGGAAATGCCATCATAACACACACTGTAACACTGCTCATTGTGTTCAACTAAAGGATACAAACCTCAAAATAATCCAAGAAATAACACTGTCAAAAGAAAAATTGAAAAAGACAAATAGTAGCTATTAAATTGTTATATATAAAACAGCCTGTGAACTGACTAATCAACTAGTCATTTCAACTGCACAATCCGTTACAAACTGTTACGTACTTTAATTATTAAAAAGTAGACTCTCCCTTACAGAAAAATCACATGTGATGACGTGTGTGGTTTTTCTGTAGCTGTTGTTACATTTTCATTTTAAATTTGTGACTAAAAGATGAATGTTGTGGTGTCAAAAGTGCAAATTACTGTCTATAATGTAGAGTAGAAGTACAAAGTGGTATAAAATTAAGCACTTAGGTAAAGTACCTCAAAATTGTACTTAGTTACTTTTCACAACTGTTTCTGTGAAGATAATTAAATTGATTCCCTGCTGATTCGTCTGTAGGGTTTCTGCTGATGAAGTTTGGGTTTCTGCAGGTGGTGCTTGTTTCTTCATCTGTTCAACCGTGAAGATTGTCAACACTTGAGGTAACAACTCATGAATCTGCTGCACGATGCTACGCTCACCATTTGCTGTGTGACTGAGTTGGTGGAGCACACACAGTGATATGACAGGCGCTGTTAACACAAGACTGTGTATGATAATGACATGTATTGAGGTCAGCTGGTCCCTCTCCTCAGCAGCACATCCATATAGAGATATCATCCAGGCTACGTACGCTTCAGACACGCTAGTATTGAAGCTACAGACGGAGATAGTGTAAATCTCCAGTATTCACTTGAGGAAAGTGTGTTTACTCTCCTGAATTCTTTGATCAGGCATAAAGCTGTTGGTGATGCCTTGTAAAAATTAAACTATAAACTGTTTTGTCTCTGCTAACACACTGCCTGCTGGAAAAAGATGCTCTTGACTCTTCGCATCTCACACTTGTGGTATGCATTATGTGCTTCTGTAATTGCTGTCTGACTAATGTTATTGCAAACCTGACTGTGTGTTCTGCAGGGATCCCAGGAAACCTATCTCCACACCTCCAGAACGAGCTGGCCCTTATTCAGTTTAACTCATTCTCATTCGATTGCTCAGTGTGGTTCTCTGAAAACGACCCCACAGGTCTGGAGGCATTGACAAGTGTCTCGGCATGTGATGGATTACTGATTCCGTGTCGACAGACTGTTTCCTCGTCTCAGCCTTTCACAAGTGTACCTGTTAGCCATTATTGACAGACCTCGCCAAGATACAAGACGCAGTTAGTCAGCTCCATACTTGAACATCCAATTTGCAGACCTAAAGACAGAAACGATCTGAAATCAATCACTGTTGTTCCTGTTGCTTTGAGAAACCAAGCAGCAGAGGGAGGCAGTGATCTTGCTGATACCACATTGCTTTATGTTTTAGGATGGGTTTCTTGGTGTTCTCGTATAAGATATTAATTCACTGACACATTTTATCACTGTCTAAGGGTAAAAAACAGTCAATTGTGCTGCGAGGAAGTCCACGATTACTTTTTCTTTCAGCATTTTGAATTTATCTGGCCTGTATGAATGGCCTGCTCTTTGTCACTGCCATTTCTAATGTATGTTCTGTGCTGGTTTTTTTTTAATGGCAACTCAGTTAAACTGGCTTTTGTCATTTTGAGAAGCACTGACTTTCTGTCTAGCTAGTGTTTAGCATGAGACTGTGTGGACAGATGGGAGAGCACTTTCTGATCTGATGGGACAACAGGCAAAACACACTGCCATAGTAAGAGCTGAGCGGCACACAGCCATACTACTTCATGGCCAAAGCTGATCAGCTGTGGCATTTAGTGTGCTCTGCAGGCTTATTGAGGTACACAGAATGTGGCCCCTGCAGAGGCTCAGCCCTGGCAGGCAGCAACACAACTAGTCAGCGAGGGAAAGCAGAGTGCAACCACTGAGCAAGCAAGCATCACCAATTATCTCCACCTCTGTGCTTGTAGCAGGAATCCATTTCAGCACCATTACCTCTGGGCAGCCATGGGCTGACTGTCTCTCCCGTCAGGGCGATAGTTCTAAATTGGCTCCCACCCCTCTCCTCCTCCTGAGATTGAAAAGAGATTATTAAGGATATTCATCATAGAGGAGGCCTGAGCCTGTCTGGAAAGTCTGAAAATGGTGAGAAATGGCAGCACAATGGAGAGGGCCTGAAAAAAAAATTGGAAAAAGAGGGATGGAGCAAAGACAAAATGATATAGATATGTCTGTGCAGAAGGCTTGGTGCTCCTCCATGCTACAGACAGGGTGGTCCCATGGGTGAGTCAGATGGACTGTAGCTGTAGGCAGGGTGTGGGGCCCAAGGCTAAGGGAACGCATGCGCACAGCTGGCCACCCAGTTGTGGCTAAAACTCTGCATATCGAATGCAGCGCTAATGACACCCCTTGAGACCCAAGTAGTCTGGCTCCTTCATGACAAGATGCGCTGTACAGTATCTTATCCCTGTCTGATCCGAGCGAATATCTGTGGGGGACAGACTGTGCAGGTAGGACAAGCTGAAGGTCCACTCTATGGTCTGTGCTCCCCATCAAATTAGATTATGTTTAGATTAGATTCTAATTATTTAGAATATTGAAAGATTAATGACTAAGAAATCCCTCTAGCCAGAAAAAACTCTTTTCACACCAGCACACCAATGAAGAGAACCACAAGCTGAAATACTGGGTGCTGCACTATGTGGTTTCCTGTAGTGTGCATTGTAGAAAACACAACATTTTCAGTCCAGTTTTGTTTATTTTTACCATCTGCTTTGGGTAAGGGTCTCACTTTCAGGAAACTTCCCACAACCCCTCTTGGTAAGTGGTATTTTATTTCTGTCCAACTGCTGCCACTCACTCACCAGATTCAATCTCTTGCACTGCTCTCATGCACAGTCTAACAGAGGTGTTATTGATGCCGTTATGTAACCACCTGAATATTGATGAACATTACAACCACAGTATGCCCATACGAATACACGGCAAAGCAGTGATACAGATTGCATGAATGTCAAGAAATGATAAACTGAGATTTAGTAGAAGATGCAATAACATGACAAAATATGAAACATCGTATTTTGCAGTCGTCCTGGAAAACAGACTAATTTACTACACATTCTGTAGTCCCTTTGTGTGAGTGCATGAATATATATGCTTTACTTTGTGTGAGGACAACATGTCTGAATGGAACGGAAAAATATGTTAATATTGTATTAAAACAAATTAATTGAACTTGATTGTGGATTTCTTTGTTTCCACATTCAAAATAAGAATTTATTTTAAAGAAAAAGCTCAACCTTTGGGGGAATACACTTGTTCATCTGAGCACAGAGCTGTAACCAGAAGTCACTTGGCTTAGGTGTCTTATTGAATCATGGATCAAGTTGCTTTTGACAAACAGGAGCAGATTTGTATTATATGTTTGAAACAGAAAGAGACTTCAGATTGTGAAAATAATAATGAGAACAATATTAATTAATACATTACGCTTTTTGTTGTCTTGTAGGACATGCAATTACACTGTTGTAGTCTGTAGATTTTAATACATTTCCATAAAGTTATGGTTGACATTTGTGGGAATGAGTCAAATCTTCTTTTGTATGTTAAGTTTTAAGCTGGTGACAGGAGGCATTTAGCTGAGCTTAGCATCAAAACCAGCATCTAGCTCTGTCCAAAGTTTGAAACTACGATTAGAAACATCTTAGAGCTCACTAATTAATGTGCTGTATCTCGAGGTTAATCAGTGCAACAGTTGATCCATTCAGCTGTGTTTTTGCCGGTTGCCTTAAAAGTCATGATGATGACAAGACTCTAGGAAGTCACGAAGAAATAAATCCAGTTTAACTCTTTGTAAAATAACAGTTTGGTATATTTGTGAACTTTTACCAGAGCCAGGGTAGCTGTTTCACCCTGGTGCCAGTCTTTATACTAAGCTGGCTAACTGCCTTCTGGCTCCAGCTCCTGACGCACAGACATGAGAGTGGTATTGATCCATTAAAGCAGTGTAATTGTATGTTGTGAAACAATTTCAAAGTACAGTAGATGATATAATTAAAATGTGTATCTGTTCTTAGGCAGTACTCCACAATAGAAACGCTCCATTATAGAACACACAGTCTGTCTTAGAGTTTTTTTTTATAAACAGCACTGTTTTGTTATTGAGAGATATTGATGAGATTTCCGTAATCCATTACTGAACAAGCCTGTCTGTCAGTCTGTGTGTGTGTGTCAGCTGCCATGTGCTCTGTTGGATCAATGCTATCCTACAAGCACTGACCTGGAAAAAGCTTTGCCTGCTCAGCTATCAATAGACCTTCTAATTAAGAACTGCACCCCCCGAGTAAGCACTGCTCAACTAGCAAAGACACGTGCTTGGCTTGTATGAAAATTCCCTCTCATTAAACCCAAACCTGGAGCTTCTGCAGATTACCAGCAGAGAAAGTGTGATTTTCACAGTCTTTGACTCAGAGTATGGATGTCCTTGCCTGACATAGCAGGGGGTTATCCTGGCACTAAAGGAGGCCATCTGTTCAGCCTAGAGTGAAATGTATTGGATCATTTTTGGGTCAGGCTTGCGTAATAATGACACAGGATTGGGGTAGAACTCTTTAAAATCGTAGCTATCCACTAGACCATGGATCATCTGCCAGTTGCCTCAATTAGAGAGAAGACACATCCATGCAGAGCAGACTCAAGCCGATGGATTGGACAAGCAGGACAGCCTGCTTCCTCTCCCAGAAAGATGCAGCAAAGCAGGCTCAGCCATCCCCAAAATCCTGGGCTTCCTCTAGTCCCACTGGCCCCATGTTTAACGGGGATCAGGTCTGGCTGGAGGAGCTGATAGGCCTGCCCTCTAACCAGTCCTCACCAAGCCAGCCGTCCAGCCCCAGTGTCCCCAGCAGCAGCCCAGGGGGCAGCAGGAGCAGCAGTGAGGGCACAGGCAGCCTGAACAGCTGGGGCTCTGGGGTGACCTGCCGCCTGCACAGCTGCATCAAGAAGCAGAGCCAAGAGGCTTTTCAAACTCAACTCAGACAAGTGAGAGGGCAGGGGAAGCTAGCAGCATGCCCTTCCAGCGGGCCTTGTTACAGAGCTCATCCACAGGTGGAGCAGGGAGGAGGCAGTTATCATAACATACTGCATCAGGGGAGGGGCTCTACACACACCCACACCAGCACTAAAAGTGTAAAACTACAGTGGCTGCTGAAGGAAAAGATCGAAGCCAAGCTGAAGTTTTCACAGTTCCTGGATGAGGTGGCATCCAATGTGCTTGACCCAAACAGCCTGCAGGCATTTGGAAAACCAGTGTCTCCCTCTGGCTTCACCACTACAACACCGGATCAGCCTGAAGACCAGGTCAAAGTGGTGAGCTCCAGGCTACTCTGCTCAATGGCCCAGCAGCAGAAGACTCCAGAAGAGCAGACTTCCCCTGACCCGGCACAGAAAACTTATCTAGAGACGGACATTGACACAGTAAGAAGGGATGACGAGCCACAGGGCAACGAGGTAAAAGCAGAAACACTGCCACAGCTGGAAATAGACGAGGATAACGTGATTCCACCTCCTCCACAGTTCTGTCAAGGATTTGAGATGAAGAATTTCTTTCCTGAGTTTCATCGTGACTTCCCCAGATACCCCTACAGATCTGTGTCTCTGCCCAGAGGCATCAACATGGTGAGTGATGAAAGTCGTCCCAGTCTTTAATCAAAGCAAGGCTCTGAACATATGTTATGATTGGAGCGGAAATTGTTTCTCAGAGAGTTTGAAGTGATGTCTGAATAAATCAAGTCTTTGTATGATTTGAATGAGCTCTTCTTGATTTTTCTCAAGCCTTTCTGCTTTATTATTTAAAGTGTAAAGAGGAACAGGAAAAATGGGCTCATCATAAAGTTACAAGTTCTTTGTCTAATGTAGTCTATGGGGTTTTGTTTGAACTTTCCAGGGATCAGTGGGAATATACATGATTCAAAGAAAACATAAAGTAAACCATCAAATATCACCACAAGATATATACAGAAAATATGGGAGACATCTTTATTATTCCACAAGGGAAATTACACACTTTCACACTCACAGACACAAGAAAACATGCATATGTGTTTCACTCATTCCTTTATCAACAAATCTACCTGTATACGTGTAGGAGGGCAGTATACGTTGTATACATTGTTATATTAACCTAAAGTTATTCTTACTTTGTAGCATTTTAAAACCTGCATTATCATTTTTTTCTCCACTTGGGGGCAGCAGAAATAAGCTGTAAATGCCACACTGACTCCTTTAAGGTTGAAGTGTTGTGTTTCATGAGTATTGGTCTAAGTTTCACTTGCGTTTTTTTTCAACTTTAAATTAAAATGTGTCTCTTTAGGTGCAAAATGATTTGCTGTGTTCATTAGCTAATTGTTAAATTAGTTTGTCTCCTGTTTGGTGTTTTTTCTGATAGGGGTGTTGCTACAAACAACATCTGGCAGAGCCTTACCAAACACATGCTAGAAAACCAGTGAGCTGAAGGCTTCATAGAGCTTTGGATGATTTTCTCAGAGTCACATACACATGTAGTCTATTTCCAAATATAAAAATATTTGTATTAACTTGAGATTTAAAACAATCGAACTTTGGGTCACTCTCTCTGTTTTTGTCAGCATAATTTTTGGTTGCAGCAGGCAGCTATTTTAGGAAGAAAAAAAATCTCTGTAAAGTTAGTTATGCTCCACTGAATGGACACAAGACTGTTGTGTTCAAAGCTTGTGGTTTCCAGGTTGTGTGAGTTTTTTGCTGGGATAAGTAAAAGTCTCAAATAAATTTAAAGTCATTTTAAAGGGTGGGCATTTGGAATGAACTCACACAGTTGGTGTGTGTGATTTGTCCTGCTGGTCCACACTAACATGCGACCACTCAGCTGATCCACTCGTTCAGGTAGATGATGATGTGTCTGTGAGTCTGTACAGGAGTGCTACTCCATGCTGACCAGTGAACACGCTTCTATGGAAGTGCTCATTAGCATTCTACCCATCAGCAACTCCTCCACACAAACAATCTGAACTGAACAATGCAGTCATTTACTGACTCAGCCCACTCACTCACATTTGTTTTGTGACATCCATCATTTACTCAGCTTGAGACATAACCTTGCTGAAATGGCAGAGGAAGCAGAGAACCTGTTTAACCAACAGTTTTCTTCAGGAAGAGCAACTGGTGATTCCAGACTTATAGTAACAGTGTGCATTTCACAGAAGGACAAGCCTGAAGGCTCACTCGGCAATTACTGCATCAAAAGTGAGTGGATTTGCAGTCTCAGCATGACACTCATCTCAATGGTACATGTTAATCCATCTGGCTTTGGTTGTCTTGCTTGAAGATGCACATCACCTCACTCACTAGAGTCCACATAAGTGTATCATTCAGGTCAAATATTGCTATGTTTTACATTCCCTGGACAACATAAAGCATCAGTCAACATGTGATTGGTCTGATTAGCAGTCTGTCAGGGTTTCTCCCCAAAAAACAAACATAAATACTGGACAGATCTTTAAAATCAGTGCCGCTGCCATTAAATAATAAAGAAGAAGATCACATTGCCTTAATTTATTGTCTGATTAAAATTCAGCCTTTGCCGTCACCTTAGCAACTGCTTGAAAAAAGGTGGGTGGTGTGGGGGCTGAGAGGCAGGCATGTGAGCCTGTTGGTGTTCATCTCAGTGTAGTGTGTGTGTGTGTGTCTATGTGTTGCTGCAAAGTTTCATCTCCTTGCACAAGTACAAGGACTTGTGCAAGTGCAGTAACAAAGCATTCTTTATAGGTATTCGATTTTCTGCTCTGCACTAGATGAAGATGCAAAACTAAATTCATCAGGCATCCCCTCTGCTTAAAGGTGCCATTTGTTGGTATTCTGATGTAGTCATGTTTCCCACTGGCGCTGGAGATCAAATCCCTGCAGTAAAGGTTGCTTCCTTAATTAATAACACTAGAAGAACATGCATGAAGCCCTCTCCTGACTTCAGAAGCTTAAATGCTCTTTGTAGCATTCCAAAATCATGAAACATGACAACATAGCAGCAGGGATGCCACACTTGATCACGCCTGCATCCTAAATCTAAATGAAGATGAGAATTCAGGGGGAATATTCTCAAGTTGATGCATAATTCATCACCTTCAGAAAAAGGGCCAGCAGCACACTTGTATATAGCGTATTCTCCCTAACAGCCCGAGACTGGAGATGTAAGATTCAACAGATTGAACCACCTGTTCCCCTCACCTCCCCCTTTCTCTCTTCTTTCTCTCTTGCCACATCCTCCCCTCCGCTCTCTGTCTTTGCTCCTTTTCTCCGATTCAGCACCTCGACAGAGATACTGAGTTGCTGCCAGAATCCCTCATGGGGGGGCTTGCCATGTATCTGCAGTCTGGCTGCAATGGAGGTTTCCACTCTCCCTCCCTCCTTCCCTCCCTCCCCCTCTCCTTCCCCCCTCTCCTTCTCACTCTCTCCTCTCACACTCTCGGTATGATATGATTGTTCTCTTCTCACCTCAAGTAATCGTAGATGTAGATATCCGAGTGCAGCCTGATGAGTGTTGGATGGGCTTTCTCACAGGCAGGAGTGGAAAGAGAGAGGGGACGGAGCGAATGGGGGAGCAGAGAAGATAGAAGGGCGGGGGCATAAACAAAAACAGAGGGAAACAGTGAATGTGCCTGCTGAATATGTATGTTTCATTTTTCCTGTGGATGAGTGTGTGTGCTGCAGCGATGCTCTACTTGGCAGCTCCTGGGCTGGTATGATGGGCCCCCTCCACTAACATGCTGTCATTTTCTTAAGGTGGCTGACGAAGAGATGAACAACATAGACACTGTCAGGTAAGCTTCTCCCTCTCTCTCCATTTCCCTCTCTCTTGCTCTGCACATATCTTTCACGCCCCCGCGTTCTCCCTGTCTTCTTCCTTTAAGCTCCTTCCCTCCCACTCTTCCTATCTGTCTTTCTACTCTGGCACAGTCTCTCTCCCTCACTCTCTCTGCCTTTCCTCCTGCCTCAGCTGCTGCTGCTACTGCTGCTACTGCTGCTGCTGCTGCTGTTGGAGCGTGGTGTTGGTAGTGGCGGCAGCAGTGGTGGTGGGGTGTGCATGTGGTGGGGTTTCTCTGAGCTTTAAGGGAGAGCTGGGTAAGCCAATCGAGATTGCATTTAGAGGGGGGTTTTCTCCATCTCCGGCAAAGGCTCAGGCAGGAGGATTTTATCTCTCGGTCTACAGGATGAAGCTCTGCGTGAGCGGAAGGTACTGCTTCACCGTTTGCATCTTTGATTTGAATTACAAAGCTGGCTTGGTTTTGTCTGTGTGTGAATGTCTGTGTTTGTATGCTCATCTGTATGTGTTGTGGCTGCACTTGCAGTGTCAGTTTGTGCTCTCTGTGTACTAATGCGGTGCTGTTCGCAACGATTTCTGTTTTCTGGTAGTTTGTCAACGATAAAAAGGTGGGCTTTACAGAACAAGACAAGGCAAAGGCGGTTGTATGCAGGGCATCTCTTGGCTTGAAATTCACTGCAGTGAATGTGACGTTACTGTAAAAGCTTTTTCTTCAACAGATCAATCGAGAGGGTTTTCAAAATAGACTTAAATGTGTTAATGCTGTTCAAGTGTCCATACACAACTCTTTCATATCTGTTTCTGTGTGATTTTAGACAGTCACCTGTCGGAATGCACCTATAACACTGATTAATTACTCTGCATGACAGCAATGCTTTGCCACTAAAACCAGCTAAACAATCAGATTTCCGTGTATTTAAATAAGCCTGGCAGTTTCAAACCACAAACCAAGGTGATAACTCAACTGATGTCTTCTCATGCCTGTGTAAACAGATTTTAATGAGCTCATTACAAAATTACAAGTGCTCACCCACTTTTCTGATTAAAGTTGCGTTACACAGGAATTAAAGCAGCAAAGACGAGATTACGAGATGCAGGAGCAGTTATTCCCTCCTCTTCCTCACCTTTTTACCTCACTGTCCTACAGTAGACATGTTTTAATTAATACTATTACTAATGAACCATTATTAATCCGCCACAGATAGAAATAGATCCTGAGTGTTCTCTTTTGTGTTCAATTACTAATGGTATTATTACGATTTCAGGCAGATTACTGTGTAAAAGCTGTTTAACCAGCCGATGAGGGGTAATTAATTTTTACGGGGTGTTTCTCTAATATGAGGCATCAATTGTCCTCACCTCTGTGTCACAGCTTTAAATGAATTATAACATCTCTGCTGAGACAAGAGGGGGAGTCCTGCACCTTTCCTCCTTACTCTTTGCATGGGAAACAAGGTCACCTATAGCCTGAAGAAGCTGTGAGGTGGTTAAACAAAAAGCTGGACTAACCTGTGAGTCTGACCCTACCTCTCCCTCCCACCCACCC